TCTTTGTGTGGGCAGGTAACAGAAGGTTTATGGCAAAGGAGCAGGAGAAAAGCCATGTGTTGCCTGCCTGGTTCTGTGCTTTAGGATTTAACCAACAGCTTTTTACTCCTCTCTACTTCATACTCTGCCATGTGCAAATCTTTAGAGGGACAAAATGAAGACCAGAAGTACAAAGGGAACACGAAGAGACAGAAAATCCACACTGATGGACAAGCAACAGGCAGACAAGCTGTGCTTCCACAGGTAAGTGCATCCCATCACTTTCTGATTTGAAGCCAAGAAAATCCAGGATCCGAGGTGCCTGAATGCATAGGTGGGTATGAGATGAACAGATATTAACAACACAGAAGTATTATGTCAGTGTGTTTCAGCTCCTTCTACCCAGTGCCCCAATGCCAGCTTTGGGCCAGGCAGGTGCATCTGGTGAGGAACTGCTGCTGCATGGTGGCTTCAGTTGTGGGGCTGCCTTTGGCTCTCAAACTGCCTGTGTTGGCCTAGGAGCCATTCCCTGCCACGGTTGCTCCCACTGTGGGGCAATCTCTGTAAAGATACTGTAACTTATACAAGATTCAGAAATTGGTATATAAAACGTATTTACTTTCTGTTTGCTTAGGGTAAGAAAATCCATGACATTTCATTATCACAGTCACGTGGCGCATACAACAGTGCATGTGTGCATGGGGTGGGTTTCAGTGTTAGGTTTTCAGCTCTGCAATTATGTCACTTCACTGAGGAACCCCTCAGGATTTCACAAGTCCACAGAGCTTCTTAGCTGCAGCAAAGCATTAGACACTGGGCTCTAAAGTGGTCTCCACCTGAGTTATTTCAAACCTTCATTCTGCAGGCATATCAAGCAACTCTGAGAACCATTTCCAGATATAATAAGGGCCAGGTCCTGATGGACAACAGGTTGAACATGAGCCTGCAATGTGTACTTGTGTCCAAGAGGGCCAACAGCATCCTGGGCTGCATTAGGCAGACCAGTGCCAGCAGGTCCAGGGAGGTGATGCTTCCCCTCTACTCAGCACAAGAGAGACACACCTGGAGTGTCATCCTGTCCTGGGCTCCCCAGGACAAGAGAGACATGGATATACTTGAGTAGGTCCAGTGAAAGGCCATGAAAACAATGAAGGGATTGCAGTAGCTGACCAAAAAAAAAGATGAAGTTTTTGGAGTATGTCATGCACTGGAGGACTGTGAGACCTGAGATTGTTTATCCCAGCCTGGAGAAGGCTCAGGGGGATCTTATCATATAAAGAAGATGGATCCAGATGCTTCTCAGTGGAGCCCAGTGACAGGCTGAGAGAGGCAATGGGCATAAATTCAAATACAGAAAATTCCACTTTAACATGGGAAAAATACTTTTTTTACCGTGAAGGTGGTTAAAGCCTGGGACAGCATCCCCAATGCAGTTGACCATCCTTGGAGCTATTCAGAACCCTATCTTATCATATAAAGAAGATGGATCCAGATGCTTCTCAGTGGAGCCCAGTGACAGGCTGAGAGAGGCAATGGGCATAAATTCAAATACAGAAAATTCCACTTTAACATGGGAAAAATACTTTTTTTACCGTGAAGGTGGTTAAAGCCTGGGACAGCATCCCCAATGCAGTTGACCATCCTTGGAGCTATTCAGAACCCTACTGGACATGGCCATGAGCAACTTGTTCCAGCTGACCCTGCTTTGAGCAGGGTGCTCAGACAACAGGGTCCCCACAGGTCCCTGCAGGACTCGCTCGCATAGAGTTTCAAGGCAGTGACTCCAACAGTTAGGTACACACAAAACACAGGTTTATATGTAGCAAACTCAGCCACAGGCACTTGTCCTTAAGAATAATGAAACCAGAATAGCTTGACAATACTGCCCTCCTGCTCTGTACTGTAAAAATAAAACTATTTTAAAATACTCTGTGTCCACATTAACTACACCGATACCAGGAGCATTTTACAGGCAGTAGGTGGCACAAAAGAGACAGTTTTGGCAGAGCCCCAGGCTCTGTCCCGGGTGTCGGGACATTTTTGAGTTCAGTCCCTGCAAAGTCCCAGCCAGATGTGCCTCACGGGGACACAAACTCAAGTTTCTGTGCGACATGGAGAGCCCTTGGCTGGCTCTGCAGCAGTGTGGTTTGCAGCCCAGGATGCACAGGACTCCCGAATCCCAAAACAAGGACGGACTCACTGCCCAAGTCTGCAGGAGCCAGTCAGTCACCCACCAGAGATGAGGAGATCCTGGGCTGAGCTGGTGGGATCACAGCCAGAGCCCTGAGCAACTGGTCATGGGAAAGGAGACAACAGAGGAATGACAATCAGCACATTGGGTGATCCCAGTTCCCACACTCTTGCGTAAGCTGAACCAGTTAGAAAACATCAACGATTTTCCTGGAAAATTTTTCTGAAAAGTTTATGACTCTCAAAGGAAAACCTGCTTTTCCACTTTTTTAACTTTAAAAAAGTCCATACATCTAAAAAACGAAGTTTTACTGAAATAAATTTTAAAACTGGATATTTTAATGAAGAATCCATAACTTTTTTTCCCAGCATGAAAACTTATAAGAATGAAAAATCCTTTGGTGAATAGCCGATTTTTCAAAGAAAAAATATTCCACTTTGCTTTTTACCATCTCTATTTATAAAGGGGCTGCTACTTTAAGCCTCATTTGGGCATTAATCTCTTAAGACCTCACAATTTTTTATATTGTTAAAAAATTCTTTGCTGTAACACTTCAAAATGCTGCCTATAAGAGAAACCACTGTCAAAAGATTTTCTGGTCCTGCTGCTGCCAGATGAAAATCGGTTTCTTTTTAGAGTTCATTTTAACCCACATTGTACAGAATATCTATTGTATTTATGCCCTCAAATAATGGAGGGACTTTCTATGACTGCCTGTGGGTTTATTTACTGTACATCAGAGGGGAACCTATTCACACAGGGGACAAAAAAATCCTCTGACATAAAGCAAGGAAATCACTTAGCAAAGTCCATAGACAATCTTAAAATGAAATCAAGCTGGAAACCAACTTCACCAGGATACAGAAGGTTAAAATACACATACTATTGTCCCCCAAATTCTATTTTTAAAAAATACAAGTATAAAGAGTATGTAAAGAAAGTATAAAGAGTATTGTTATATAAAAAGCACTGTAAAGCATCAAAACTCAGACTTGAAAATCCTAAACTGGTAATGCCTTCTGGTGTCCAGGAAGTTTCATGGTACAGCCACTCAGCTTTGTAGCAACATTTTTCTGATGTTGGGTTTAAACAACATGTATTGAAAATATCCTTGCCAAACTCCAGAAACGAGTGTGCAAATATAAAAATATTACCCTTTGGAAGCAAAAGCTCTGTCTCAGAATTCCTACCTCTCTTTTGTCTGGCACTGGGACTGGAATTCCTGTTTTTATTGTTAGATGCTTCAACGTTTGATGTTTCAGATTTGTTTTCATATATGCTTGAAGACTTTCTGCTATACCTTTGGAGAAATAAAATACAAAAGTAGTTACATTCCTG